CTCTTGATCTCAGGGTTGGGAGTTCAAGCCCCATGCAGGGAGTAGAGATGGCTAAAATAAATAAACTTTCTCTTAAAAAGATGGTAGCTAATAGTTGTTTTATTAGAACCATATTTCAACTCAAGCTTAAACGAGCCTTTGCTATCACCCTACCCTACCCCCATCCACTCTCCTTCATGTCAGCATGAATCAAACGGTGTAAGCATCCCAAATGCTTTCCAGTTGTCATCCCCTATTTCAACCCTCCGTGTTTTCACACATCATATTTCCCAAGCCTAGAATGTTCTTCCCCTTTGACCAGATGCTAAAATGCTATGCATCTTTTAAATCCCAACTGCAGAAAGTCTTTTCGCACCCCCAAAAATAATAATTTCCTCTTTGATTTAATTCAATACTGGGTAACTATTGCTATGACCACCTCTGTCAGAGTATAGTGGATATTGTTTTATTATTACTATCTCCCCTACAGTGAATGGCAAAGGGTTTGCAGTTAAAAGACAGCTCTATCATATATTTGGGTGACTTTGGACAAATCACTTTACTTCCGAGTCTCAATGTTTCTTCTGTAAGAGAAACATAGACATTACCTTCCCATCTCCCTCAGGCTGCTATGAGATGTCACAGAGATGAACTACGTGAAAGCATGTTATCAACTATAAAGTTGGAACAGAGGAGATGTTTTATGTTACATAATGGACCACACAAATAGGGAAAAAGAGGTGACTTCTCACCATTTACCAAAACTGCTGTAGCCAAGACTACCAATGAGCAACGACCTCCCAAATGCCCCTTCTCTCTTTTTTACTTGACCCTTCCCTCCGCCCCACTCCTGAATCTGGAGGGCTCCATATCTAGATCTCTTTCCTTCCTCTACTTACTCTCCTGGTGATCTCATGCAGTATCATGGCTTTCAATGGCATTTCATGCCTTCCAAATTTGCTTATCTAAATTCCTTCCCTGAAAAGCAGACTTGTGTATCAAGCTGCCTAGATGCTCAAAACGTGTCTCCATCGGTCCAAACTAAGCTCCTGGTCTCCCTGACCCCAAGCCCACACTTCGTCTAAGTTCATGGGCATTTGGTCCATTCATGTGCTCAAGCCAAAAATTTCAGACTCCTACTTCACTCCTCTCTTTCTCTCATACTTCCTATCCAAACCACCAGACAATCCTCTGACAAAAATATCTTCAGAATTCAACCTCTTCTCACTACACCTGCTTGCTACCTGTATAGAGCAGACATCACCTCTTCACACTTAATGAAAAATCTTCCTTAAAAAAGTTGTCTCCCTGTTCCCACCCTTTGCCCCACGTTGGGTCTCCACTCACCCAAATCATCCTGTTGCAACATTAGTTATAACAGGTCAATCATTGTTTAAAACCCCTCAGTGGTATTTCATTCCCGGCTGTGAAAAATCCAAAGTCCTCCCAATGGCCTGTAAGAACCATGTGATCTGCGGCCCATATTCCTCTTTCCTCTCTGACCTCATCCCCACCACCGACCAGCTGCTAATTCTCTCCTTGCTTTTGTTGATCGACCAAGCTCTTGTCACCCCTCTGCCCAAATGTTCCTCTACCCGCCACCACACAGCTCATTCCTTCCCTTCCTCTAGATCATTCCTCAAAGCTCACCTCACCATGAGGTCATCCTGGGCCAATCCACTGAAGACGGCAACCTCGCCTCCCCCACTCCCTATCTCTCTTCTCTGGTTTAGCTTTCTCAACAATAGTCGCCACATCTTAATATCTGTTTTACTGTCACTGCCATAAGGTCCAGGAGGGCAGGATTTTTATTTCTTGTATCCTCAGGGCTTAGAACAGTGCCTGGCACACAGAAGGGACTGAATAAATATTACTTGAAAGAAATGAATGAGTTAAGAATGGATGGCCAAAGTAGGTTTCATAGGTTCATGATCAATATATTTGTAAACACCTGAATCTTCAACAGTAATGAATAGAAATACCATCAAAGTTCTTAGAAATGGCTGGCAATTAAATATCAGCCAATGTGAGCCCATAAAGAAGAAAGCAAAGTAAATTTAGGAGCACCTAATATACCTAAAGAAACTCATAGCCAATATGTAAGTAGAAACAGTATTCAAAATACAACACAATATGCAGGCAATCACCTCCTAGACTTATTATAAAGTTCAAAGCTAAATAAATGCTTTACTTATAAGATGCTTAATATGTATTGTATTCATCATTTTTAGGAGGCAGAGCTGAATATTTAGATTTTCTTACTATGCAAGTTTTTTGTGAACAACTTGGTATATTGCTCTAGTTTCAATAATTGGAACTAGTCCACATCAACGGTTTCAAATAACCAAGACTATAAAGTTTGATACTTCTCATAAAGTTATTAAGTATATTTGGTTATAATTTAAGAATTAAAATCAGATAGAAAATATAAAGTAATTTATCATTTTAAACTCTGTAATTACAAATTACATATTAATATTGCTATACTAATTATATATAGTCTGCTGATTAAAATCAATGTTGTCCACAGACAAAAAGTTTTGGATACAACCCCCCCCAAAAAAATTCCCATCTTAATATCAATTTATTCCACTTTTCCCCTTATTATTATCATTTCTAGGTAACTAAAATTACAAATGAGAGGAAGCATACCTTAACCTTCCCATCATAAACTTCCTAAGTAAGGGTAAATGAATATGATCTTCCTCAAACTAAATCATCACTTGGAAAAAAACAATGTCTTGTTAAATCCCAGATCTAGAGAATGAAAAACAGGACTTTAAACTTTATTACACAATGACATGCCATTCTTCTAAGTGTTGTTTATAGGGGGGGAGGGCTATTAATGTAAGTAAGGACCATTCTATTAAAACAAATATCAGAAAATGTGCTAGAGTTCTTAATGTCCTCATCAAGAAACCAGTGGACCATCCCTTTATATTATCGCTGAAAAGTGAATGAACGACAATATTAAAACTATATCTAAGTCTATTCATCACGGTTAGCAATGAAAATAGAGAATTTGAGTAAATTGGCTCTAGAAACTTGCTATTATCTCAATTTACAGAAAGTTGTATAGGAAACAGAAGGACAACATACTCCCAAGTTGAAGCTATAACCTTTAGCTATATGCTTGCACACGTAAGACTTTAAAAGAAATGTTTGTTGAAGTGGATTAATCCACACTTAACTGGATAAAAGAAGTGAATGGAACATATTTTTACAGAAAAAAATATTTGAATACGTAAAAACTTGTATCCAACTGAACTGAATATTTTTGGTTAATGTGGCTTGAAACCTGTAAGACAGTCAACAAAGAAAGTTGAAAGCATCAAGACATCATTAATTCATTGTGAAACGTAATGATCGCACCTCTTATTATATGTTTATAGATCTTAATCCCTGTATTAAGTTTTTTCTTACATATATGTTTTTTAAAAATTTATTCCCCACAATGACCCCATGGGATAAGTATTATGATCCCCACTTACAAGTGAGGAAACAGAGACCCAAGGAAATCAATATCCTGGCCAGTGCACCACAGTGAGCTGTTGCCTGGGCTGGGATTCAAACTCGGGTCTGTTTCATTCCAAGCCCATGTCTGAGCCCCACTCTGGGTGGCCATTAGAACAAATTCAAACACACTCTGTTCAGACACTTGTAGGTAAAACACCTTCTGGGAAATAACACTGCACTCTCTACCCACCCCCCCACCGAATATTCCAACAGATAACTTTTGTTGAAAACATTTGAGGAAATCTGGCGTTTCCATGCAGCACACTTTGCTGAAAGTATACTTTACAAAAAATTTAAAACATATTTCCTGAACTAATACTCCCTGACCTAAGTATTCATATGAAATAATGATTATTAATGTATATGAAGTTTTCCATGTCACTAAGTCTATTGTTGAACAACTTAAACTTCCAAGAGACGGTGCACCTTAATTACAAGAGCAATCAACAAATCACAAAATCTGAAAGCCAAAATTTCTTTAACCTAACCTTCCTTTTATGGACAATAAATTAAAGTCTGGGAAAGTTAAGGAGTTTGCCCAAGTTTATACAACTAGAAAGGAGCAAATCACAGTATTTTTTTCGACCTACAGCAGGATGAAAACATTTCCAAGTCCCAGTTATCATCTTTGACCAGACCTTCACGTTTCCCGACACCGTAATATGTCCATGATATTCTCCATCTGTAGGATTTTAAACTACCTTGAATGTGAATCATTTTGGAGAATCAAATCCAACAACTTAAATCATTTCAAATCAACCTATTTTAAACAAAGGAAACTCTCACTTTCCATGGCAAATGACTGCTAGACAAGGAAAGTAAATTCTGTATCAAAATACTTTTTATATTACCGGTAGTATTTATGTGAACTTTTAACTGCTTCCTCACAGAGATTAACAAAAATGAACTGTAAGGACTTAAAAGAGGGACTACCAGGCTCTTAGTGAACAATATAAAAACTTGATGTATATTATAAAGATTAAATAAATTTACAGCCTCTGTTGTTATTCAGGGTCAAGTTTTCCTTCTGAATGAACTTGTACTTTATAGTGACTCCCGTTAATAGGAAATCATTTATTTCTGGCCACTTTTGGATTTTGTTTACTAAAACGAAATATCAAAAGTGAAAATAAAAATAATGCAATCTACAAAATTCTACAAATATATAAACATCCACTGCCAGATTTAAAAATAAAAAGAATCAGAAACAATATAGGACATGTGCTCATTGGACCCATCATTGTTCTATAACTTTCCGTAGAGACTTTATAATCTACATTCATTATATGCGCTAGTGTTGAGGGACCCAGTGTAAAATTAGTAAAGTTTCATCAGAAGTACCCAAATCATCAGTGCAAATAAAAATGAACCTACAAATACCAGTACAAAACAAGGAAATCCAACATCATACATCACTTTGATCAGGCAACAACTAGACAATTCTCAAATGGCATAAGCACCAGCCCCAAAACGATTGCTTGAAGAGTATTGAAAAAGAAACATACCTTCTTTGAGGTAGAGAATTGCCAGTAACCAAATTGTAGTAATCCACATAGGGAAGGCGTCATCAAAAATCCCAACATCCTCATGTTTAAATAACTCCAAATGAAGAAGTTTGAAAACTTTCCATCCAGGAAGGACTTGACGCAGCATTGGTACTTCCAATAATGTCCACTGATAGGAAGATCCAGTAAGAACAGTGCAGTATGGACGTCAATGCCCTGCGTGATGCTTTCTAAATGCTGATGACAATGATCGCACCTATACAATTGAAATTAATTAACATTAGCTTCCAAGTCATTCTACACACTCAGTTTCTTAAAGTAAAAAAAAAAAAAAATTAGTAACCGTAACGGTACTAGATTTCATATACATAGTTCTGGTGCTTGAATCATTGCTAGCTGCAAGTTTTAAATAATGGCTCTTCTATACAATACTGTGCAAAATCTTAACTTTAACAAGTTAAAATAGACTGTGTTTGGGTGTTTCCTCCAGGTATGAGCAGCACATTAGTCTGATAGCTGAAAAGGCAGGTGACTGAATGCAGGGGTGTGAGGAAAGCCTCTAGCTCGGGGGTGGGGACAGGAGAGGAAAGCAGAGAAGGTGATAAATCACCTTGGTATTTGGAAGGATCCCAGAAAACATACCTGAAGATAATGACCTAAATTTGCATTATTGAATGGGAGAAGCCTGTTCCCCACGCTCCTAATAATGGAGCACAGGGTGACAGCTTGAGCCAACTACGCGTGCCCACTTTCCACCAACTCCCAACTTTGTCCCTAAATGTAAGTCTCTTCACCAAGTGATGGGACAGAAAAACAACTTTTATGGGAAAGTGGAAAAGCAAGAAGAGAAATTTCCTAGTAAGTGGACGTGTTTCCTAGTCGTGGAGTGGTCGAGCTGGAGCAACAACCGAACTAGAAAGACTGCGAAGTGAAGCTACTTGGGAGAGCAGTTTGGGGAGTCTCCCTTGGCCTATAAATGAGGAGGGAATCGGGCTGTCTCACCGCCAGGCAGCAGCAGCCACAGCCGTCCCCCTTTTGGGCGGGCGTGGCAGATAGAAACAAAAGGTTAAAACACAAAAGGCGGGGCGGACTGCTGGGTCTGGGGAGCTTCTGGGGCTCTCGGTCCCCTTTCTATTCAAATGCAAGGAAATGGGGGTGGCGGGGAGGGGGGCTCCCTGAGAGAGGTGCTAGTGGATCTCCGGGATTGCATAGGCTATTCTGGGTGGGTCGAGAAACTGGAAGGAGCGGTCAGGATGGCCGACTGAACCAGTGGTCCAGGCCCCATCCCTCCATCCCTGCATCTCTGTCAGTGGGGAACCTGTGGCTTCCTCCACCCTACCCCAGCCCCACAGAAAACTTTCTGAACTCTTACCTGTTTGCTCTAACCCCCCTTGACCACAAACTCAAGTGTCCACTCCCCTGCAGCCCAAACCTCTTCTGCATTCTATTGTTGGAGATTTCGTATTGTGCCTTGGTCCTGCCGAGCTCTGCGCAGACAATTAAGTTATGAAACCCCCACCTCCACACCTCTTTCTTTTGCATGAGCAAAGTCAGGGCGGGGTGGGGGTGACCCTGGACTTGTCCCCATCCATTTCAGCGAGTTTTCTCGGGTATGGGCGCAGCTGGGAGAAAGCAAGGCAATGCCCCCTTGAGATACCCTGGCCCCATCCCCGCCCCCCCACCCAGCTCCTCCTGTAATAAAGGCACTGGAGAGAAATGCCTGTCTGGCTGTTGCCCATTAAGAAACAACAAATAAAACAATCTTTGCAAGTTCGTTAAAGAACAAAAGAGAAGGAAACAGGGAAAGGAGGTCCAACTTACCAGCCAAACTTCACCACCGGACTACGCCTCCGTCCTCCGAAGGGCGGGGAGCCGGGAGCGCTAAAGGGGAGAGAGGTAAACAAGACAACAATTTCCACTCACCTCTTCCCCACCTCGTCGGACTTTCAGGGGACATTTCCCTTGCTGCAGTCTGCGAGGCGCTCCGACACTTTTGTGTGGCCTGACAGCGGAGAAAGTCGCCGCGGCAAAGTTGCGAGAGGGAGATACCCGGGCGTCCGGGGGAGAGGGGAGGAGAGAGTTCATCAGAGTTCCCCCTTTTGTTCCAAGTCCCGGAGCAGACAAAGAGGCGGCGAGCGGCGGCAGGTTTCTCCCTCTCACCCCTTCTTCCTCTCTCCCTCCCCTCCCCTCCCCGCCCCCTCCCTCTCCCCGCATCTCCCGCCCGGCTCCGGAACCTCCGAGGCGGCCCGGGCGGCTCAGTCCCCAGTTCAACGCAACTCTGCCCCGACCCTCTCCTCCCGCGACCTCGCTCCAAACTTTCCCCAGGAGATGCCCGTCCTGTCCCCTCCCGCCCACCACCCTTTTATCCCCCGCCTCCCCAGCGCGCACGAGTCTCGGGGGGGGGGGGGAATCTCCAAAATCATTGTTTCCGGGAGATGCACCTCTTTGTTTGCACTTTCCCTGCCAATCAATGTGAACAACCCACTTTGGCATCGAGTTTCTGTCAGTTTCCCATCATCCGGGGAGACCATACGCAAAGGGTAGGGGGTCAACTCCATAAGATAAAGGCATTTACGCAATCAGAGGTGGGGCGCACCCTAGGCTCTCTCCATCCTCTTTCCTACACTCGGCTTCACCGTCCTCCACCCAACCACCAAAACAACTCAAAGGGGGCTCCGAGTGTTGCTTTTAAGGAGACGCTCTTCCCCCACGCACCCACCCCAGCCCTGTCCCTTAGGAGAGCGCTCTTCTAATCCGCAGGACAAAGCCCGCTCGGGGTCCAGCCGGAGCCTCCACCCCTCGGGGCTACCTGTTGCTGCAGGCGCTGCACAACTCGGTCCAGGGACTCCGAGGGCGGGTTCCCACCTCGAGCATCGCGCCCACCTCTCAGACCCCAACTTCCCTAACCTCAAACCACGACGGCTACGCTCTCTGGACGACCCGGCTCCCTGACACCCCGGAGCCAGCGCTCCACACCCGTTCCCTTCCCTCCACCGCAGCCTTCCTCGCCCCTTAGGTCTGACTCGGGGACCCTCACCGCCTCCCCATCTTCGACCCCCTGGCGCGGCTCGTGCCGTCCGAACATCCCCTCTTTCCGTCCCCTCACCCACTGCCTTGCCCTGGGCAAATCAGGTGTCTCGGACCCGGAACAATTCCAGACCCTTCCCCAAGCCCTTTGCCAATCGTTCCCCGACCTCCAGAGTCGGAGACCCCTTCCTCACCTCGCCCCATCCCTAGACCCTCATCCCTGCTCCGGGCCACCTCACTGGCTCTCTGAGGGGCTCCGAGCAGCGCTAATTTTTCTCCTAGATTTCACCAGAATCGAAGAGGAAGCGAGCGGGGAGGTGGGGGAAATGGAGGGAATGGGGGGCCGCGTGGGGAAGCAGCTTCTAGGGCGAAGGAACAAAACCCAAACATTCCAAAGCAAACACCCACCCTTTGGGAGGTGGCCGGCCCAGCGCGCACCTTCTCCTCCACCCTCTCTCTTCCCCAACCCCAGACACTTGGGATCTTTGCGGGGAGGTGAAGTTTGGGGTAGGGAAGGAGGCTCGGGGACTTGGAAGCACTGGTCGCCGTTGGGCTGGGGGTGAGGGGCGGCCTGAAGGAGGAGGTCAGGAGCCAGGAGCCCCCGCTGCGTCCGGAATGTCGCGGCCGGCGGTCCCTGTGCGCGCCCGGCGACTCCTTGCCAGGTCTTTCCCCCGGAGCAGAACAAAGACGCCGCGAGGAGCGCCTGTCCTCGCCTCCCGGCGTCCGCACCCCGCCCTGCGCTTCGCTCGCAGGAGCCCACGGCGCTCTCGGAAACTTTGCAACAACTTCCCCCGGAGTTGGCGCGCGCGGCGCGGGGAGCGGCGGGAGACACGGCGACCATCGCCTCAGGGGCCCGGAGATGCCCCCTTCCACGTCCCCTCCCGGCCCGGGGGCAGCCCTCCTCGCGCCGCAGGTCCCGGCCCGCGCGCCGGGCTGCCCACGGGGCCGGGGCGGCAGCAGCACGCGCTTCCCTCCCCCACCCCCCCACCCCCGCTGCCCTCAGAGAAGGAAACGGGTTCCTCGAGTCTGGCTGCGGGCAGGGCAGCGCCGGGCCGCGGGGGGCCGGGGGCGGAGGCGGCACCGGGAGCAGCGGGCGCGGGGACGGCCGGGGCGGCTGCGGGAGGCCGAGGGCGCGCGAGCGGGCGCCGGCGGGAGTGTCCGCGCGCCGCGTGCGTCCCGTCCCGCGCTCCCCGCGAGCAGCCGCCCGGCCGCCGAGGCAGGACCCGGGCCCGCCGCGGCCGACGTCCGGGCGCTCGGGCCTCCTCCCCTGCGCCAAGGCCGGACACCTGCGCCGTCCCCTCCCGAGCCCGGCGTCTCGCCCTCCGCCCGGGCTCGCAAGCCTCCTGTGGGGCGCGGAGTCCCGGGCACACCACGACCCACCCCAGAGAGAAAGCAGCGCCCACCCACTCCAGTCGGGCCCATTTTCCCCTTTGTTCAATTATGATGACTTCCAGAATTCTCTTTTAGGAGACGTCTACCCCCTCCCCGCGCCTCTCCCCCAGACAAAACCCTTACTCTCTGCGGCCATCAGGGATCCGCTTGGAAAATAATGAGAAGTCAGAACTTCCAGACAATTCTCTTGGGCCGCCTTTCGTCCATGCTTGTTACAGGGTCCATCGACGGAGATGTTCTCCAACTTCTAAGTAACACCCAACCCCCCACTTACTGTTAGAGCGTACTTAATTGAACCTATTAAAACACTGCCAGTCCTTTGAAAATATCTATTTGTTTCTCTCTTTTCTCAAGTACTGAGGAGTAAGGGCCATTTGCCAGGTGAAAAGTCAATATGGCCTTAAGAAGGCCTAATCCGTGCTTTATGAAACACTCCCGTCAGAGCTGTTAGAGGTAGCTCTCCTTCCCAACCTGCTCATGGCAAAATGATTTCGGGGTGCCTGAGCGGCTCAGTTGGTTAAGGGGTGACCTCTTGATTTCTGGCTCTGGTCATGATCTCAGAGTCCTGTGATCCAGCTTTGCAGGGGGTTCTGCTTGAGGATTTTCCCTCTCCATCGCTCTCTGCCCCTCCCCCACTCTCTAAAGTAAACACTTTTTTTTTTTTTTTAGATTTTATTTATTTATTTGAGAGAGAGCGCGGGCAGGGGAGAGCATGAGCTGGGGGAAGGTGAGAGAGAAGGAGAAGCAGATTCCCCACTGAGCAGGGAGCTGGATGGGGTCTCTACCCCAGGACCCTAGATCATGACCTGAGGGGAAGGCCATCTCTTAACCACTGAGCCACCCAGGTGCCCCCAATGAATTTTTTTTTTAAGTCAATTCTCCATAGATTCTTGCTGCTTAACAGGTCAGAGCTCCCCCATCTCTATAATAAGGCCCACGGCTGGGCCACACTGTGTATGACCTAGACGACTGCTAACTTTTAAAATAATGCCATCTTTCCTCACAGGCCACCACATTTTTAATACTTTTTTTAAAAAGTTAATTAGCATCTCGGGTCAAAGACGAATGTCTTGGCAAAGAACTTAGAAACCCAAGTATCCTCTCTGTCGCACTGTCGGAGATCTACTTGGGGCCACACCCCTATGTCACCTGCTTCCTATTAGCAGACCAATGGCATCTTACTGCGATCCTCTCCTCTCTCTGCTTCTCTGTTCAAAGGCTTCCTCTGGCTGCCAGACCCCACTTTGCCAGTGTAGGGGGGCAGCCCAGAAGTGCCAGGCAGTTAACAAGTCTTCAGAGTAGCCCTCAAGGAATCCGGTATTGAGGTAGGACTATACTCTCTTGTATTATTCTAGTGTCCCCCAGAAGTCTCCAACTTGCAACTTCAGTTGCCTGCTCTTTAAGGAACCCTATGTTGGCTCCCTCCCTCCCTCCCTCTCCTCCTTCCTCCCTCCCATCCTTCCTTCCTTCCTTGTTTCCTTATCTCTCCCTACCAGTATTTTCTGGGATCACACCCCAGATAAAATACAGTACTTGTCCTTGAATCCTGATCACAGGGTCACCGTCTGGAAGAGCTCGACCTAACCTCTCCTATATGTGTTTTCCAAAACGAGGGCTCTGTTCTTTCTGGAGAACGAAGCTATAAGATCAGATGTTCCCTGGAATAGAAGTGATTTCAGTAATGAAAAATGTTTGTTATCTAGTTCATTTCTTATGCTATAGTTTAAAATTAGATATTCTACTGAATAAAGTGTAGAAGCAGCAGTATGTAGAGTCGTTATCTCACGTGTGGAAGGTTTGTACCTGGATTCATTAGGAACGAACTCCTGAAGCCTAATGCCAGCAGACAGCAATGCAATAGGGAAAACTATTAGAATCACTTTTTTAAAAAAATTTAGAAGTAACATGGAGAGTTTTGACTGAGCCTCTGATGACAGTGAAAGAGGATAATTAACACATACCCTATTATGCCTTCGTGGGACCTAGTCAGTAATATGTCCAGTGGGAGATCCTACGGAATTTTTCAGCAAACTTCTCGCAGCATAAATTGGCCACCTTCTGCAACACATTTTATAAAACTCCATATTAAACCGTATTCTCCTCTTAGCCACCATTATGAATAAGCCATCAGGTGTCCACGGAATTATAAGGCCCAAGCCCATTCCTCACTCCACAACGTTCTTCTTCTTGGGTGGTTTTCACCTCTATTTCTTTCTTTTCTCTTTGCTTTTTTTTTTTTTTTTTTTTTAAGGAAGTTCTATCGGGTGCCTTGGTGGCTCAGTCGTTAAGCATCTGCCTTTGGCTCAGGTTATGATCCCGAGGTCCTGGGATCAAGTCCTACATCAGGCTCTCTGCTAGGTGGGAAGCCTGCTTTTCCCTCTCCCACTCCCCCTACTCGTGTTCCCTCTCTCACTGTGTCTCTCTCTGTCAAATAAATAAATAAAATCTTTTAAAAATAAAGTAAGCTCTATGCCCAGTGTGGGGCTTGAATTCACAACCCCAAGATCAGGAGTCACATGCTCTACCAACTGAGCCAGCCAGGTGCCCCGCCTCATTGCTATTTTTAAGATTTCACCATGGTCATCCTTAAATGCTGCTCACCAAAATTTTGGCTATCCTCTCTCTGGGCACAGGGTAGGAATGAAATTTCCTATTCTGCTTGAATTAGGTGTGGCCATGTGATTTGTTCTGGCCAATGACATGTGAGTGGGAATTACACGCCTTTTC